CATTCATCCATCCAAAAATTTTCGCATTTGTAATATTATTATGATTATTTTAAATAATAAGAAAAGTGTCGTTTAACATAACCTCAATGAATTGTCCTCGACTTTCGCGTTCAAGGTGAAAATAAAACGAACGGATTATTTCTGTTTTTATATTCCATTTAAATCTGACACAAAAGTAGTTAAATCTCTTTTATGTCTTCCGAAACTTCCACGTAAAGATTTATGAGGGCATTGTTTATATCTATATTTGTGGATGACATTGTTTTTGTTGTTAATCTACCGGCAAGAAAATAGCGTAGCATATCACGAATTCTTTAAACTACATTCTCCACGGCTAGATGTATCTAATTCAGACGCTTTGATATTAAGAAAGTAAGTTATAGTCAAGGATATTAATTTCTTATCCATTTTGGTGAAGTCATTTGATGCTTATAATATACTATCTAATATCTATACTAATGTTATAAAGAGGAACTTTGTTTGTTTGTAATAGATAGGCTCAAAAACTACTAGGCCGATTTTAAAAATTCTTTTACAGTTAGAAAGGTAATTTACCTGTTAGTAACATAGACTATATTTATTTATTACATATTCTTTAATTAGTCTCAAACGAAGTTGCGGGCGAAAGCTAGTAATGCAATAAGGTTAACATTTGTTATAACAACATAGGTAAGTGCTAAATTATAGTTCTTATAGTGATATTTTTCCATATTCGATTCGCGGGCAGTGAATTTATTTCCTTGACTACATAATAGGAAAAGTTATGCGTCGCTAACATTTTATGTCGTAACGCTGCGTTTACACTAATAACTGTTGATGACGTTCGTTAAAATGATTTAATTTTATGTTTTTTTTTTACATAGCGTAGAAGCCGTCATCTGAATGTTATTTTTGTTAATTAAAGAACGAGTTAATGTTAAAGTTACAACTTAGATACATCAAATTGATCGTTAAAGTTAATAGAAATATAAGTAATGTTAATGGATAAATTCTCAGTACATTTGCTTAAGAAATGTTTTTTTTAAGACTTTAAGAAGCCTAATACTGTATCGTAATCAATAATCTTTATGTTATGTTTTCGGAGTTACAGATATTTTTAAATTAATGACACATCAAGTCAACGATGAGAATTGTATAGTAGGTCAACAGGACGTAATAACAGATGGTGGCATTACCATCATTTTAAAAAATGAACTCAATATAGGACGAAAGGAAACGGATGTGACACTTCTATGGATACCGAAATAATACTTTAAATAATCTGTTAAACCATTAAATAACTACAATAAAAGAAAACATACACATTCTCCATCAATTCGTGGATGGATGGATGGATGTTTGTTAGAGTTTGGAACCTAAACTGCTGAATGGATCACGACGACTTTTGGTATATACTGAGAAAATAGTCTGGACGAACACATAGGCTACTCATATTTGTTTTTTTTAAATTCTACGCGGACGGAGTCGCGGGCGAAAACTAGTATAAAATAACTCATCGTACTAATCGTACTACCGTGAAATTCTCAACAAAGTTAACCTGAAAATATTCGTCAATGAAAACTCCCACAGATTATGCTAAATCTCGGCTCATTTTTCTTTCCCACGTTCGTTTCAAGCGAGGCGAATACGTGGCAGGATTTTAATTAACACATCATCGCGACGCTAGCGCCATACGGATGCTCATCTAAACAAACCAGCAAAATGAACAAAACAGCGTTGTAAAGGGAGAATTTTAATTAAAACTTATTTTTTGTCAGACTTCAGGGGGTTAATATTTTAGCGCATTTACGGTAGCAGATAAATGATAGAAATAATTGTCTAATATATTATTTTAGGTTATTAAATTTTATCTAATATTAAAAGTTGTATTTCTGTTAAAGACAATCGAAATAAATTTTCACTAACCCTTGCGGTGCCGCGGACAAAGGCTTGACGTATACTAAGTGGAAGCTTTATCATTTGAGACGTTTTCAACTCAAAGACAGGTTCAATATATTTTAGCGACATTGATTGATTTAATATTTACATACTTAGTAACATATCAAAGTAACAATATGTGCTTGAAATGGTCACAAATAAACGATTTCTTTTCATGGTAAAGAACCGTGAAAAATATTATTTGTATAAAATATGAAATACAAAATGTGAACAGTTATTTCCAGAGAAAGCATACAGGATGTAGTTATAATCTATAATTTAATACCCAAAAGTAAATATTTATGTTATATTTATTCAATCACATTAGCAATAAAAACAATAATAAAAAATATAAACGCCACCGAATGTTTAGTATGCAATAAATAAGACGCGGTGTTGCTGTGGGATGTCTCTAGGGCAGGAGGATATTCTCTTGATCCACGTAACACGATAACCTAGTTAGATAAATACTAATTTAATTCGGTTGGTGCGATATTTTTTATGTCTGTCTTTTATAGATACACTTTTGTCTGGACTCCGTTTGCGTGGATTTTTAAAAACAAAAGCAAGTAGCCTTTGTGATCTTACAGACTACTCTCTACATCTATGTCTCCAGATCTGTACAGTCTTTTAGGCGGTAAACTCTAACAAACATCCATACATATATCTAAACTTTCGCATTTTCGCGTTAATACTATAATTAAGAGTCCGATTGACAAACAATAAAATTTTGTTAAAATACAGTATTATCTTTTTTTTCAAGATATAAAATATATGATATGTTTATGCAAATTGTAAAACTATTACTTCATGGAACTAAGGAAGTACGTTATACCAAAGCAGATGTAGAGATATCGTTTACATATCTGATTTCGTGCTGAAATGGTTTTGTACAGTTATTTGTACAGTTCCAATACGAAAATGTAGAAAGTTCATTTAACTAAACTACTTGGTATAATACTATCGTTTTGAAATAACTGATTTTTTTTGCAAATTTCGTGCGCAAATAAACACAAGAATAAAAGACACTTCATACTTTTATACTAATAATATAAATGTAAAAATTTAGATGGATGAAGGAATTTTTGTTAGAGTTTGTAGCCTAAACGGCTGAACGGTTTTCCATGAAATTTGGTTAGATGTAGAGGATAGTCTGGAACTTTAGGCTACTCATTTATGTTGTTTTTAATTCCACGCGAACTGAGTCGCGGACGAAAACTAGTTTAGGTCTAATGATCCGCTCGCGTGTTACATCTTGATGCCTATTCAGACCCGGAATAGATTTTGTATCAAAATAAATAGGTCACTATCTTTTACAATTTTTTTGTACTTTTTCTTGTTTAATTTTGAAATTTAACGAACTTTTAATATCACAATTCGAAATTTAAGTTATTTGGTTTCCATTATCTTGAGTAAATATCATTTGATTAAAAAACTGAAAGTAATGAATTTTAAAGTGGAAAATAGAACATTGTAATATCAACAACTGTTTTCTGTGAATATTTCACTACGTATTTTGTTGTTTCCTTTGAGATGAGTGTTTTATAAACAATGTCAAATATGCATAACATCTCTTTGTTTTATAAATACAATTCGTGTGAATATCTATCTACTAACGAACGTATTTCTTCGAATTTATACCAAATCGATATACAATTTGCATTTATTAACTATGTCGTTTTCTTAGGCATTAATTGGTTGCTAAAAACAGTAGTCGATAAACCAAAAAGTCATAATCTATCTATACCTACATATAATAAAATAGGAGTGTCTGTTTTAACACTCCAGATTTAGGGAAGATGATTTATTTGCGTTGCTAATAATGAAAAACGCATTTAATTTTTTTTGTCTGTCTGTCTGTCCGCAAGCCACGTTGAAACGGCTGGGCCGATTTCGTCCGGACTTTCACTGAAGGGAAGCTAACATAGAAGGCCATATTATAGGCTACTTTTCTATCTTAATATTTCGTGGATAAAGTCGCGGGCAACAGCTACTTTCTAATAACTACGCACTCGAATACAGTTATCTTTATATGTAGAGACTGTTTATTGTATCTCTTAACAGTAAAATTGAGATCCCATCCATTATGTGTCGTAATACGGGATTAAAGGATACGCCGTAATGTGCCGCGGCTTAACATGCGCCGGAATGACTTCGATTATTCCCGGAATAAAATGAAAACTGAAAAGCTACCGTATTATTAAAATACAAACAATGAAAACTCCGAAATACAAAAATAAGTTAGTCATAGATTAATAATACAGAGGGTATAAGATTCCTAAGTAATCTATATGTAAAAAAAAATGGAGTGTCTGTTTGTAATATCAAAAGAAAACTTTCAGATTTCAGGAAGATGATGTATATTGATGTATGATTATGATGTGCGTTGCTGATAACGAAAATCGTATTTAAAAAAATTTTGTCTGTCTGTTTGTCTGTCTGTTCGCAAGCCGCGTTTATTTCGGGAAATCTCCGAAATAGCTGGATCGATTTCGACCGCATTTTCACTGATGGGTTGCTGTCATAGGCGGGCATATTATAGGCCACTTTTTTAAATTCGGCGGTGTCGAATTGGCATAACGAGTGGTCCAAATTTGCGCTAACGTAGTTTGCAGGCAACAGTGTTATATAAATAAGTCTCCGTAGACTGACTAAATGGAAACGAGTACCTTCATCTAGTTTCGTAAAGTACTGATCTATTTAATTACATACAGTTGTAAGTAAACGTGCTTCTAATAACAAAATTCTTAGCTTAATTATAATATGGGTCTCACGAACATTAAGCACGTAACCGGCGTCTAATGAATTGATTCCCATCGGTGGTGACTTCAATAGCCGATGCATTCTTGACTGTACTGATAGCCTTGGAACAGCCTAATAAAATAATTAAATTTTTTAAAGACACGGTCACGCACTTCATGTCTACGTAATAGTTACATTGTAAACAATCATACGTATGTAATTAATTAGTTAATTGTCGATCGATGTACTTCGGATTTTCCAAATCTAGGCTCTACGAAACGCTACGGATTGCAACACTGCCTATTGGAAATTCAGTATCACGCTAGCTTTCGTGGAAAGCGGACGTGTCGTTTGTAATTCGCGTACTCACGTTAACACGCTCGTAGACGCTCTACCTTTAATCCAATTTACATTAACAATGACAAGTCAACGACCTGATTAATTCAAATGGACATGTTTTAATAATTATGTGGTCGATTGTTTTTCCTGTGTAGTGTTTTTGTGGAAAATGTTGAAGGTGGAGGTGATTTCGGAAAAATGTTGAAGGAATCCCGCGTACGCACGCACGTTGGATTTCTTATTTTCATTTATTATGTTTTCGCCGTTAATGGATATATAGGTAAATAGTGTTTCATATAACTTGTTTAATTTAAACATTCAGACATATAGTTATATGTCCTCGGTAAATTTAAGGTTGAATTTAGAGCATACTTCGACTTTGCTTAGCTTTACGTCTACCTGAGTTTTCAGTCTGAGTGGTCAGTGTTATCTCGGGATTCCAAATTAAAATCCCTTAGGATGCAAATTTATTGAGTACCTACATGTCGAGCTCAGGCAATTTAATTCTATTAACTCGTTAGCTTAGCTAAGTTTAAGTACGCACTATAATCCTACGTTACACTGATTTGTCATTGACTAAACACCCGGATAAAACATTCTCGTCCTTCTCTGACTCTCCAATAGAACAGAGATAGCTATATTTGTGTACCCACAGTTACATCGACAGTGAAAACTCACGTTTATATTTGTAGAAAACAAGCGATCCATTATTATGTTATGGTTAATAGAGAATTAGTAAGAATTATTCGATTGTCATTTATTATAGAATTCATTACCATTTGAATTAATTCTTTTTCTATTTTAAACCTATTGTAGAGCGCTCTGGAGATGAAATTGTATCTCCATAAATAATTGTTAGTAATTTTATACGCTTTGACCTCTTTATTGATTTCGTAAGTTAATGGTCATATGTTCCGTTCTTTGTATAATTGAGTTGGGTATCAATTTTAAATAACAAACTACACATTTGAAAGTTTTCACGTCAAATTTTACATTTTAGCAATTTAATCTGTCCCTTTATGTCGATTTATACTATTAAAGCTATACTAAGGGACGTCCTTAGTGATTATTACTTTGTTAGTACATTTAGAAAATGACTGCATGATGATTACGTTACTTGTCTTGAAAAATTATTATATAAACGCAAAATCCATACAATAATCATAAATGCTAGAATTTGTTGTGTATTGTTATAGGATCCCCTTTTAAAGTGACCCCGTATTGGTGCAAATATAAATTGAAACGTGCAGCTAATTTTGCTATACTATTTTTGAGGGTTGCATTTTTTATGGCGTCCCAACGAACCGACGGAGTGACATTCTTATTAGATTCTAATACAAAGTTGGGGAACGTTGCACATTGTTAAATAGTTCGGCAACAGATGTGTTTTGATTCTATGACAACTTGTAACTTTATCGAAACTATTTTAATATAAGTGTCTTGATGTCAAGTTCAAATAACGCTTGTTAAAGACCTTCTGATAAAATGGGAACGTACACCTACATACGTACAACTAATATATCATTTTATATAACACTAGATTTCGCCCGCGATTCCGTTCGCGTGGAATTAAAAAAAAAAAACAAAAGTAAGTAGACTATGCTTTCTTCCAGACTATCTTCTACATCTATGCCGAATATTATAGAGTTTCAATCAACAGTTTAGGTTACAAGCTCTAACAAACATTCATCCATCTAAACTTTCGCATTTATAATATCAGTAAGACTATCTGTTGCGCGCGACTTAGTCCACATCAAATTTAAAATAATAATAAATATAGCCTATGTTACTCAGTGAAAAAGTAACTTTTTAATAGTGAAAGAGTTTTTGAAATCGGCCCAGTAGTTTTTGAGTTATTTGGATACATACAAAATAAAATCTTTCCTGTTTATAATAGTAAAGATAAGATAATACAAATATAAAAGTGCGATAGCAACTATATCAGTTTTACAAAATATTCCAGTATATTTCGAAACTTTCAAGTTGAAATATCACTGCGATCTCCCAGGACTCTTTCGAGCGTGTCGTGTTACCACTAGCGTAGTTTCCGTACGCGACAACAGAATGTAGACATAAATATACATATAAAATGTTTGTCTGTACGCCATTCGTTTCATCGCAGACTGCGGTGCGAGATGAGCGATCGCCTCTAGCTACGCCACAGTACTAAGTGTAATGAATATTACTTGGAAACTGAGATTTTCTTTTTAAAAATATAAACGCTGTTGATTTTTAAATAAGTTTTTATAGTTCAATAACTATAAAAACTTATTTAAAAATAATAAAAAATTAAAAATATATCAAAAATATATTTTGATATATTTTTAATTTTCTAATGTTCGTTCGATTCGAAACATTCGATATATTTGCGTTGTCGCATTGGAGTTCAGTTTGTGTGTTTTAAAGTAATTTACAAGCATTGTTAATATGGCCGTCCGTCTATATTTTAAAGGAATTCATTTGTGGAAATATTCAACAGTAGTTTTTAAATATTGTTAATAAATCTATTGTTACTAGTTAATATTATAAAGAGGCAAGTTACCTATGTGTTTTTGTATTACTTGATTCAGGCAAAAACTACTCAGCCGATTCTATTCTAATTAAAAAGAGGAAAGATTTGTACTTTTGTATGTATTGAAAGAACTCAAAAATTACTGGGCCGATTTAAAAATTCTTTCACCATCAAAAAGCTACACTATCACTGAGTAACATAGGCTATATTTTTACCATGTTTTAGTTTTAAATAAATACCTAGTGAAAATGTAAATCGGCATTAAGTTGAAATTAAATATGTACAAAGGACTAAGGGAATAGCGCGCTCATTTCGTGTAATTGACTCCCCTCAAATTAAGCCTTGATTTTATTAACCGGCTTCAAACGGTTTCCGCTGATTTCACTCCATTCACGTTTTGGTATCTAATAAGTCTCAAGTTAATCACGATCGTAGATGTGTGAATGTATAGACTTATCGTTGTTTCGGTCATTTTTACAGGAAGAAAAGGGATGACAATGTTATGTGATTGATTTGGAGGACTGTCGGAGTTTACATGAAAATTAAAAGAGAATAAACAAGAAAGAGAAAGGGAATTAGATATAAGCAAAGAGCGAAAGGGACAGTGCTTGTCATTTATTCTTTTGTTTTAAACACGTTTTGTAATTTCACATTTTAATCCGATGTATTTAAGTTTGGATGCATAGATGGATGGATGAATGTTTGATAGGGTTTGTAGCCCAAACTACTGAACGAATCTCGATTTAAATTTGAATATATGTGGAGAATAATCTGGAAGAACACATAAGCCCTCACTTTTGTTTTTTTTTTAATTTCACGTGGTTCGACTCGCGGGCGAAAGCTAGCTTATAAAATTCTTTATCTATGACGTCTAAATACTGTGTGGGTCGAGAATATCTATGTTAAGTGTTTCAGGTAAGTGCTAAATGGAAATTTATGATATCCATCAAAACACATGTAAAAATGTTATATTCTTTCCAACAAATGTACATGTGACCTAGATCATATTTGACCTATTTACTGTCACACAGTCAGATTAATGTTTTTTTTTAACGTAAGGTGGCAAGCGATCAAGCGGCCACCTGAATCCGCCAAAATGGCGAAGCGACCGCTGCCCATGGACATCCGCAATTGCAGATGCGTTGCCTACCCTTATCCGACGGAGGAGGAGACGCACATAAAGAGGATATTTCTCCTTTTTATGCATGTCCTCTACCGTCAAATCCAATTCCCGTTCCCATCCTCTCCTTATAAGGAATTGCTTTCATTTCACGCCTGTCTTCTGTGTGGTGGTGGTATTACACCGGGCGTGCCGGCCCATTCATGCTAAGATGTTAAAGCGGGCACTACCACTGTTTTACGGGCACTGGTTATTTTAGCTGTATCTTAGTGTAGATTTCTTTTATAATACCACCACTTTCTGAGTACGTTGTAAACGGTAAACAAGATCGATGACTTATCCGCCATGAACCATCTTTTATATGATTTTTAATGGAAGATAGATGCGTTTTTTTCGCAAAGTCACGAGAACATTCAACTTAACAAAAGAACCGATTTGTCGCTATTCTATTTCACAACGTATAATGAAGAGGAGTACCCCGAGTCTGTACAAAGCCCCTAAAACATCGGACAAATCTATTACATCCCTTCGTATAACTATTTAATCTAAATTACACTTTAATCCCCCATTGTAAGGTTTAATTTCCTTTAATAAATCAACTTTGCTAATATCCAGGATTATCAACCGCCAGTGTTATTTGATCTCTAATTTTCTATGCATCTTTTACTTTTTTGTTAGGAATAGTTTAGTATTTGCACAAGAGCAAAGATCAATAATCGTTGGCGGACACTTCGAATGCTTTTTTGGATGGTTGCCATGGTAACGTTGATTTGGATTTGGAATGCAACGGGGTCAGACTGAGTGAGTAAGGCTTATTTAAAATTTAAGTGGAAAGAGCGAGAGGTAATGAAGGGGTGAAAATGCACTGTCGAGTTGTTGAAAATTATATTAGCCTGTCTTTTGGACGACTGGCGAATATTCGTGGATGAGAATCAACCGTGTTTGTGTCTTAATACCTTTATTGCTCGTCCTTTCGAGATACGTTAGTTTAATAAATGTTTTCCATTACACGACTTTAATATAACGTCAAATTAAAGAAAGCACTTTAGTTTTATTTATGATATTGATTGTATATAAAAATAGTTTTAGTGCTTTACGTTCATTAAAATGTCAATAATCATAAATCAGAAAATATGAACATTTGTATCGTTGCTTTATATTGCGATTAACAGATTTATGATTAAAAAAACATTAGTTATACACGTATTATTTCGAGCATATTTATATCTGTAGAGCGGGCGCACACCTTTGACTAAACTATCGCACAACCGTTGTGCGATTGTTTTGTAGCCTGTTCAACTGTTTAGTTGCACAATTAAAAATCGACTGTGTGCACCTCCATATAAGCTCATAGGAATCAAAGCGCGACTAAACAGTTATACGATAGTTTAGTAATAGTGCGCTCTAAGAATGATAATAGAGTAGACTTTAATCCATATGTTTTCTTGTTACAGAAATAGTTGAAGAACAAAAATGTCACAATAGTAAGATACGGCTAACATGTCGTGATTTGGACTCTCACATCGCTGTTCTAGAAGCTTGGTATACATCAATACAAGATTACCAAGCAAACTCGAACGTAACTCAAACAGAAGACAATATAAGAACAGAGAACGATACAGAACTAGACAAAGTATATGTGTACGCTAGTCCACTACACAATGGTGTTTACGAAATAGTTAATCAAACAGTTTCCGATAATGTAACGGTTTTTGAAAATACCAGTGAAAGTGATTTGAGAAATGTTTACGGTTTAAATGATACGGTAGATGTTTTAATGGAGTTTTTTAACGCGAGTGAAATGTGCAGTGTACTTACATATACAAGAAGATATTCGAGTTTGGATATCAGTAAAAGACGAGACCCAATCGTTAAAGGTTCTGCTGTAAATTTGCAAGCGCCGTTAGAAAATCGGTAAGTTGAAACAGATTATGGATAGTTAAATTTATTGTTTGTGCTTAGTCTGATAATTATTCGCTTTAATTTATATCAAAAAAACGGTAACTAGGAAATTATTAATGAAACGATTACTACATACTTGCAAATCCTTAGATAAGTAACGACAATTTTTTCACCGACTTCCCAAAAGAAGGAGGTACTCAATTCGTCTGTATGTTTTTTTTATGCGTGTTACGGCATAGCTCCGCCGCTAGTGGACCGATTTTGATAATTCTTTGTTTATCCGAAAGGTAATGCTTGCAGGTGGGTCCCATTTTTTGTTTGATTTTTGGAGTCTAAGACTACGAGGTAGTTAAATAGTTTTTACATAAAACATTGTTAGAAAATGTCACAGTTCCGTTCTTAATCAAATGGTTTCTTCTAACTTTACAGTTAATTTTGACGTAATGGTTGAAATATGCTCCCCAATTGAGCTTCATAACCGCTCGGAGATTACATTTGAATATTTCATGTTTACGCTTTGTGTTGCAAGATTTAACAAACGCAAAGAAAAGAGGAATTTTTTACCTGAATTCATAAATTCACGGGATCAAAATTATGAAACGTTGCTGTTATTTTTACTTTACATTGATTATTAACTGTCGAAAATTTGTCGTTAAGTGGTTTAAGCACTTGACTTGTAATCTACAGGTCTTGGGTTCGAACCCCGCCATGTACCATTGAGATTTTCGATTTTTTTCAAATTTTCATATGCACATAATTTACCCGACGTTCTTACGGTGAAGGAAAACATCATGATAAAACTTGCACATATCGGCGAAGAAATTCAAAGATATGTGAAGTCGACCAACCTGCAGTGGACCAGCGTGGTTGACTATGGCCTAGTCACACTTACTTAGGGTAGGCCCCGCGACCGTCGGTGGGGACGTATAGTGAGCTGGTGATGATGACTAAGGGCATTTCTTAGTACGAGTAATCTTAACAAGCAGTCGCTTGAAGTTGTTTACCGTCTCTGAGTATGACAGCAAGATCTTTATATCCATTAGAATCTACAAGAAATAGTCTCACTCCTCACACATTTTAGGGATTAATAATTTGTTTGTGGCAAACAAGGTTCTAATATTTTATTGTTACAGTTGTATCCGACCGTTGTCATTTAACACCCTAACTTTATGAACAAAGTTATTGTTATGCTTGATTATTTGAACACGGAAATAGTAATAGTTGTAAAGTATATGAATACCTTGTTTTTATGTTAATATGATTAGGAAATTGTTGTTCTTATGATAGACAATAGATAACAATAACTTAGTTTATTCAATAACATAATTACTCGTACATATGTAAGGTCATTAAAAGTCACTAAAACTTGACATTTCAATCTATAGTTATCCTAATATTATAAATCCAAGATTTGTATTTCTGTATGTATTGAAATAACTCAAAAACTATTGGGCCGATTTTAAAAATTCTGCCACTTAAGAAGCTACATACGTCATCACTAAGTATCATCATACTAATATTATAAATGTGAAAGTTTAGATGAATGGATGGATAGATGGATGTTTGTTAGAGTTTGTAGCCTAAACGGCTGAACGGATTTCGAAGAAATTTGGCATATATGTAGAGGATAGTCTGGAAGAACACATAGGCTATTCACTTTTGTTTTTTTCGATACTACGCGGACGGAGTCGCGGGCGAAAGCTAGTAGGCTATATTTTTATTTTAATTTAATTCCACGCGGTCATAGTCGCGAGCAACAGTTAGTATTTTATATTTTGCTTTCAATATCACCAACTTCGAATAATCAAACTTTTACCTCAAAACTATGTATTTTTCAAACATATTCAATTAACGATTATTTAAGGGTTACTAAAATGTCTTACAAAATACACTAACAGCTCCATATTAAGCATGAATGTTACACAATTTAGTTGAAAAATGTTTTAGGAACGCGTGTACGAGATTCTACAGGTAGCGTTAAGCTGAAAGTAGGACATCGTATGTACAAACTCAATCAGCGCTTCGGTATTTCCTATTTGTACTTAATTAAAACGTAATTGTGTTAAGCTTTTTTGTTTTACTTACGTGTTTTAAATATGGGTTAATTCTAGCTTGCGTAAATTACTTTAGAAAAGTCACAATCAAAAATGTGATTTACATGAATCAAATCATACTATACTAAAGGAATAGTGTTACAAATTAGTTAATATCACGAACTATGCGAAATACAGTTAAAATTTCCACTTATTAATAGCGGGCGCACACTGTTGACTAAACTATCGCACAACTGTTCTACGATTGTCACTTGTTCACTTCAAATTTAGTAGGGATGGGTTGTGTAAAATCAGTAATAAATCTTATCGATTTTCAATTTTAATTCTGATAGAAGTTGGAATCGATAGATTTATATATATAACTTATGAATTAAAAAAACACTGTTTTCTCAAATTAATAATGACCATAACAAATAATGAGACTAAAATATGTTTATTACTACTACAGCCGTACGTAATCGAATTGGATTTCGCTATTATTTCTGTCATCGCTAAATTCTCTACACTATAATCAATACTAGAATTATCTTATAAATTAGTTAATATGAAAATATTAATTTTAGTTGATTTCGATAAATATTTAAATTGAATAGCGATAGTTCCAAATTGTTCGCTATGCGTGTTTGTTTCGTCACTACGATACCTGTCTATTAAGTATGGCATTTGCCTTCATAGATATTGAATTCGATACTTCATATGCGTCATTTATCAAACTAATTTATTTTAATTACACAAACTATAGTTGCACAAGTAACAATCGTGTAGTGTGCGTGCTATATAAGCTCACAAAAATCAAATCGAGACTAAATAGTTGTGCTATAGTTTAGTCAAAGGTGCGCCTGAAGTCGAGCAGAATGAAAAAAAAACTTTAGCGCAAAGAATGCGAATAGCTTGTCATTAATAACAGAAAATATCAATCTTTCGTAACAACGGCTGGAACTTGATACGGACGAATGCTACCCATTATGAGGTTGTGTTAACAACAAAGGATTATTCGACTAAGATTTATTTATTACTTTTGCCCGCGACATCGTCCGCGTGGAAATAAAAAAAACAAAAGAACCTATTTTTTCTTCCAGACTTCTCTACATATATGCTAAATTCATCTATCTAAACTTTGGCATTTATATTATTAGTAACTAAGATTGGTTAGTTAGCAAGATAAGGTGATTAAAAATCAAAACTACAAATATAACGCATTGAAAAGCTTTTAATTAATACGTGACATTTGTTTTAAAAGATATTGTTGTCAACTCCAATTATAATTAGAGAGACATGTTTTTAACGAGTAGTTTATCAGTGGAAACGCAAATAACATTAATACACCGGTCCCAAACTTCACGGTATAATAATTACCTATAACGATTTGTATGCAACTTGTACGATACAATTCAATTCATTTAATGACGTTCATTGTGCCAACGTCTTCTAATCAATGTTTAATTGCCGTACCGGAGTAGGTGTAGGGCTGTCACTAACAAATTCTTCGGCTTTTCATGTATGGTACTTATTGTGTGCAGACATCAAAAGATCTCTTAGATCTCTTAGTTTCTAGATGGAAGTAACTTAGTGTTGATTTCTCCGTCAAATGTTAAGGCGTCAAGAGTTAAGGGGAGATTATTTGGATTTTTGTCACCGCTTTGTTTTGTTTATTAAAGGTTGGTAGCCCTACGTGCGACATTCACTTCACCCGATACGATGCACTAGCTCGGAATTAATTATTCATCGCTTGATAACTTAATTTAAATGCTAATCGGACTTGAATAGGTTTTGTCTATAACAATTGAGCGACTAACGTAGTATGACATTTTAGAGACATGAAGTTTCGTAAATTAATCTTACGCTAGATTTTGTATTTTGCAAAATAATTCATCAAAGAATTTGTTACTTATATCATCTAAATATTTTGTACTAGCTTTTGCTCGCGACTGCGGCCGCATGGCATTAAAAAACAAAAGTAAGTAGAATCTATGCCAAATTTCATCTAGTCAAGCCATTTAGACTATAAATTCTAACAAATATCTAAACAATCGCATCTACAATGTAAGTAAGAAGTAAGATTGATATTCTAGGAGTTGTTTATATTTTCAAGAGTTTTTATAACATTCGTCTTTTATTTAAAACTATTTCAAACTAATCCGTTAGCTGATATTTACAGTGACGTTTATTCGTATTGTTTCGCCGACCGCAAACTTGTGGTTGAATCGGGCCTTTGTTGACCGGCGTTGTTTGGTCATCGAGTCTACATTACGTTGTAAATTACGAAATATTGTATCGATATTTCCTATATATTAATGAATTAACTTAATTACTTCTTATCTTAATTAGCTAAGACACAGAACAGTAAAACTGTACAGTTAAAAAGTTTGAAGGCAGGCTGAGAACTGTCAACTTTAATTGACAGTTAAAATTTTCCGAAACACGTCAGTTTTAATTCAGATAAACAAACTGTTCAGATAAACAGTGCAATTACTGCACGTGTATAGCGGGCTTTATTTTTATAGATTCCAACAAGCATACAAAGCAGCTGCACCTCCTCCTAGAGAATGGAAAAATAGAAAAATTACTTCGAATACTATAATAATGATAGCACCATCTAGATGGTCTAGACCTAGCTTAGATCGTGTTAGCAACGCTAACAGTATGATGTAATCTTTCGATTTTGGTCTCAGAGAAAGTCTTTTGTGTCGTGGTAAATTAGAAGCTCGCTTTGAACTATGCCGCGTTCTGTTTAATTGGTCCAATATGAGCGCCGGCATGAACGGGACTCGGATCAATAGTGTTCTAAGTTTGGACACACTAAATGCTCACTTTACTATCAATTGAAATTAATTATATTGATTCTATTACTTAGTTTCTAATGGGTTTATTAGGATAGTCCGCATATAGCTGTGAATAACATTTATTGCCAGTGTTTGTAAAATCTACTTACAGAAAAACAATAAATAAAAGACATTT